GAAAGGGTCCAGTAGCTGCTTTTATCAGCCAATCATTTCCCTGACATCCCAAACGGAGGGGGAAACCCAGGATGCCTCTCTGTTACCCTTTAGCCTCTTGGTAGTCGGGGAGGGCTGGGGGCAGAGCCTTGGAACAGCGTCCAACACAGACCTGGCACCTGCTCTCCCGGCGTCACCGCGGGATTTGTCTAGCGACTTCCCTAGCAGGGGTGTGTTAGGGGGAGTCCTCTTTCCGACTGTCGAAATGGTTATCAAAGTGTTTGTTGCCACATCTTCTGGGTCCATAGCGGTAGGTGTCTGGGGCTCTGTGGGCTTTCTTCCTGGGTGATTTTCTTCTGGAGGAGTAGTGGGTATGCCCAGGCTTTGGTCTTGAATTCCGTTTTTGTTTTTTTGTGTGCGAGTAAACTGCGCACTGCAGCGAGCATGAGTGCCCTTCGCCTTTTGCATTTGTCTTCCCGGTGTTGGAAAAAGTGTGTGGTGAAGTGTGTGATCTGGCAGGTGGGCGTGAGAGGAGACTGGAGGGAGGAGTGTTCCACGCTAGCTCAGCCTGCGCTTTCTGTCCTGTGTTATTAGCTCACCGCCTTTGGTTTTTGAGTGCTTTACCATTCATTCTGTAAGACTCAGATTAAAACTTGGAAAAAGACGACATGTCAGGGAGAATTGAAAGAGATCGGCAAAACGGTCTCAGGGCATAATTCCTTCCGTCTTCGAACTAGCTGAAGCATAAAGGTAGTGGGTGTGATATTATTATTTGTGGAAAATGATGTCACAATGACAATAGCAAACTCATCTGAGGTCACAGTTTTAAATGCTCCCAGGATTGAGGCACCCAGAGTGTGTGAGGTAAAACCCAGTTCCATACCATGGCTTTGTCTGGGTTTCTTTGGACCATACACTCCTGACTCAGACCTTTGTTCTGTGAAATCTTGACCCACCTGCCAAAGAAATAAGGGAACTCAGGGGCTCAGTTCGCCTAGGAATGAATCAGACATTGACTTCTGGCTGGAATTCAGTTTTTCTCTGTACTGAGGTTTTGATCAATATTTTAGCTGAAATGAGGGAGACTTTGGGAAGAAAACTGTTAATTAATTCGGAGAGTTAGAGACCAGAGAGGGGGCTGTTTCCTTTTATAGCTGCTTCCTAGAGGGTCTCAGGTTGCAGCTGGAATTCTGACAGTCACTCAGCAGAGATGTTTCCAGGGCCTGGCTATGTACCAGCCCCAACCAGAGCTTGCTGAGGGCCACCACTCCTAGCCCTGAACATTCAGGAGGATTTCCAGAGAGAGTGAGCAGAAAACCAAAGAGTTTGGCAGTCCCACCCACTCATCCATAATGGTTTCTGTGATTCTACTCAGTCATTAGGGTTATGATGTAGACTTAGAGACAGATGGAATGCCACGTTAACCCCGTAATGGCCTCAGATACGGAATAGGAGAAAAAAGAGCACACATCTTGAATGGAGAACTCCAGACAACACAGAGACTGCAAATGTAAATCTTTCATGACTGGTGGCGACTATGAACGTTGCTTGATGGATATAAACAATGAGGACATGTTTGTTTCTACAGACCTGGGGCTGCAAACATGCTGTGTGAGCATGCTAACGTACTGCTATGCTACATTCTGAGATTACATGTTTGGGTTTTCTTAGATTGAAAGTATTTTTTCAAGAATTATGACTTTGGTGGGTCTTTTATGAAGTGCGTTTTATTTTTAATTTTTGAAAAAGATTTTAAAAAATAATTTATTTTTACTTTATGTGCATTGGTGTTGGCCTGCATGTATCTCTGTGAGGGACTTCGATGACTGAAACTTAAGTTACAGGTAGCTGTGAGCTGCCACTTGGGTGCTGCAAATTGAACCATGGTCCTCTGGAATAGGCAGTTAGTGCTCTTAACCACTGAGCCATCTCCCTAGCCCCTCAAGTGGGTTTCAAATGTGCTCATTGTTGAAAACTTTTACCAGTCATTTATTTATTTAAAATTTTATGTACCTAGGTGTTTTGCCTACATGCATGCCTGTGCACTACATGTGTGCCTGGTGCCTGCAGAGGTCAGGAGAGACTTCATATTCCCAGGACTGGATTACAGGTGGCTGTGAGCCACTGTGTGGGTGCTGGGAATTAAGCCCAGGTCCTCTGGAAGAGCAGCTAGTGTTTTTAACCACGGAGTAGTTACCCCAGCCCCAGCCTTTCATCTACTCTGACTGTGTGGTTGTTTATATTCTTTAGACAACAGGAATAAACTACACACTTCTTTGGTTTGTTTACTGCAAATGTTTCTGTGTCATCTGTAACTGTGGGATCCTGGAGGAGACCCTTGCTAAGCCTCAATTTCCTTGTCTGTAAAATGAGGATAAGAAGAATGTTCACCACACAGCTAGGTCACGAGGACTCCTGAGGTGCCACACTCAGGCGCCCAGCACTGTGCCGGGGCCTGAGTAGGCCCTGGAAAGTTTCGTGATTAGTAGTTGTAGACACCGGCAGCTGCTTGTCAGTGTCAGCTGCCGTTCTGAGCTTTGTTAGCCACCGTTACTATTAATGAGCATTGTAGTTATTCTTATTAGTTACTGTGATTATTAGCGACTATTTTTAGTAGATCTAGGGCTATTCTCGTTACGTATTAGAAGAACTGTCTAAAACCAAGGAGATAGAGCACTCCTGTCTTACCGTGAAGAGAGCGAACACAACACCCCATAGCTGTACTGCTGAGTATTCAGGAATAGGGAATTTCACCCTATCCAACAGCTACTTGACAGGAAACCTGCGGTGGCTACTGTGTTCCTGCTCCCGTGTGTAGGGTGGTCTGTGAAGACCACATGTTTAGAAAATGAATCCTGGCTCAACAGAAAAATAGCCAACAATCTCATCGATAGGAATGCAATGCATGTTATACGTCAGCATTATAACAGTGACATTCAAAGACCTGGGCCACATTGTACCACGCTTGTGAGGGCTTTGGCCTGAGGGGAAAGGGCCGGTGTCTCCTCATGTGACTTCCTTTCTAGAAGGCTGTCACTGCGGTGAAGCATGGGGACAGAGAGCAGAGAGAGGACAGACAGCCTTTCCTTTTTCAAGGCGTTCGTTCCCTGCAGGGGCCACCTGTAAGACCTCCCAGGCTCTCAGTCCCTTCTCCCACTAGATTGGTGGTGTAAATGTGATAGGGAAAGTGTGTGTGTGTGCGTGCGTGTGTCTATGTGTGTGCGTTTGTGAGTGTGGTGTATGAGCATGACTGCGCGTGAGTGCATGTATGCATGTATCTGCGCACACATGCAGAGGCCAGAGGAGGATGTCCAGTGTCCTGCTCTATCACTACCTGCCTTATTCACGTGAGACAGGATCTCTCGCTAAGACTGAAACTAGGCTAGCAGCCTGCAAGCCCCGGAAGTCGCCCCACAGACTGCGGTTACGTGTAAGCCTGTGGCCACACCCACTTTCTTACGCAGGTTCTTGATCTGAGCTCATGCTTGTGCAGCAAGCACTCACTCACGGAGCTGTCTGTCCGCGCCTCCCCCAAGAAAAGAGTGAATTATTTTGATCTGGGTGTCAGTCTTGGAAACCCCAGCAATTCATTGGAAACTCGTTGTTCCTTTAAAATGGCGATGAGAGCGTGTATGTGGCCGACCAGGCATGATGGCGCACACCTGTAATCCCAGCACTTAGGAGGCCAGAGCAGAAAGAACATGCTGTTGCAGCCAGCCTGGGCCACGTAGCTAGCTCTAGGACAGCGTGGGCTGTGTACTGAGACCCCGTGTCTAGCAACACCCCAACAGTGAGACCCCACCTGCTAGCCTGACTGGGAAAGGACGGTGAGTTCTGGGTGCCCAGCACTGCAGGCTCTCAGGCTGCCACACAGACCGCATCGCCACACACGGTCCCACACAGTTGTCACCAACACCCCAGAGGGCACCTTTGTGTCTGCTTTGCAGATGAGGGAATCAAAGCCCTAAGCCCTTGCTCGAGAGCAGCCTTGGAGCTAGGACAAAGGTCTTCTGTGACTTCCGCCCAGCAGGCTCCACACTACAGTATGGTGACCTCGGTTGGAAAATCTCCTCACTGTACCAGACAATAAACAAGAGGTGTCAAGTAAAGGGATCTGGGAGGTGTGGCTGTGGATTCTCAGACACACCGGGGTGGCCAGCAGTGGCTGGGTGACCGCAGGACAGACAAAGCTTGCTGTGGGCATAGAGAAAGGGTTTTCCTAGCCTCCACCGAGGTCCCCGAGGCTCTGCACAGTGACTGGGTCCCCAGGGACCTGTAGGTCCTGCAGACCTGTCCCTTAGGGCAGCCAGTCAGTGTGGAAGCAGCAGGGCCTTTGGCATCCTGAGGACGGAGAAGGGACCTAGGGAAGATGTGGAGTGAGTCTTGAGGTGCACCGCTCTCTCTGTCGTGAAGGGGAGGAGTCCTCTGAAGGCTGGTGCTGAGTGCATGGGGTCAGCTCAGGACACTACCTGGAGAAGAGAAGCCCCTTCAAAAGCTAACCTTTGCGAGGACTACCCAATGAGAGTACTTGAGCAAGGGCCCACCGGGGGGAGGACGAGGTGGGTGAGGGTACCCACCAGAGAGGAAGGGCACCCGCCTCCTCCTTCCTCCTCTAGACTTGACTCTAGAACCCTTCCTTCTCTCAAAGTTCCAGGCCAGGCATCCCTCACTTGTTCCAGTCAATCTGAGGAGCCTGTTTTAAGTGATCCTTGGTGAGTCCAAGGGCAGACAGATTTCTTCTGTTTTATTTCTGGGGGGCCGGTACTGAGAACAGCATTTAGCACAGTATCACACCTGTGTCGGGACCACAGCTCCATTGCTCCTCTATCGATCCTTTCTAACAGAAAGGTGTGATTTTATTGTTTTCTTTGTGTTATTGCTGCACACAGTTATTTGTGCTATATACAGTACAGCTGAAGAAATGATACGTAATGATACGTAAACATCAACCAAGCACACTTCAAAACCAGCTATGATATTATAATACAATAATGATCATTTTTTTCTCTGCTCTTAACTAGATTAGGAAGAAACAGCAAGAAGTGGTGGGCTTTTTGGAAGCCAATAAAATAGACTTTAAGGAACTGGACATCGCCGGGGATGAAGACAACAGGAAGTGGATGAGAGAGAACGTGCCCGGGGAGAAGAAGCCTCAGAATGGGATTCCTTTGCCGCCTCAGATCTTCAATGAAGAGCAGTATTGTGGGGTGAGTATTCAGGGCTGTGGTAACGTCTTCTGTGCATTGACCAGGATTCATTATTAATTAATGTGTATGGTTTGCAAGTCTGTGTGCTCACACATATGTGCGCGCGTGTGTGTGTGTGGATGTCGGCCAGAGGTTGACACTGGGTGTCTTCTCCAATCACTTTCTGCTTTGTGTTTTGAGACAGAGTCTCTCGCTGGACCTGGGGCTCCTTGATTCAGCTCGACTGGAAGGGTTGTAGGAGTCCATCTCTGACCCTTTCCCAGCACCAGGTTGACAGACACGTGCTGCTGGGCTCTGCTTCTCCATGGGTGCTGGGGACCTGAACTCAGTGCCCCGTGCTGGCACGACAGGCACTTTATCCACTGACCCTTCTTGTCAGCCCGTTGGCCAGAAATTGTTTGAAGTAGATTAGTTTTGAGTCACTGTTTGAAATCGTTCTTGCCTGTCAGGTTATAATTTCTTTAAGAGTGAGAAGATGGTGGGATCAGTTGCACAGTGGCCAGAAGATTTGGGGTTGTTTTAGATTCTGTATGTTGAAGAATAGGAGCCGTTTGTTTAAATAAAATCTGCACTTTAGGTAGAAAGGGATCGATTCTACTTAGCCTTGTGAAGGGCATACTCAGTGGGTACCTGATAAATTCTTTTTTTGTTTATTTATTTTTTTGTTTTTTCAGGACAGGGTTTCTCTGTGTAACAGTCCTGGAACTCACTCTGTAGACCAGGCTGGCCTTGAACTCACAGAGATCCACCTGCCTCTGCCTCCCAAGTGTTGGGATTAAAGGCGTGCACCACCACTGCCTGGCAATAAATTCTTAAAATTTGACTATCAGACATGTCATCTTATGCTAGAAGCAGGATGAATGTGTTCAAACTCACTCAGTTAGTTTAAATGTATTCTGAGCATTTGATGGTAATGACAATTTTATTTATATTTAAACATTTCTATCTCCTTTAAATTTATTTGTACGCCTGTGTGCATGTGTGTGGGTATGTGTGAGCCACGGCATATGGGTGTGAAGGTCAGAGGAAAGTTTTGGGAGTCAGTTTTCTCTTCCCTCATGGGTTCTGGGGATTGAGCTCATGTTATTATACATGGCAGACTTGAACACTGAGCCAGTGTGCTGGTCCAACAACTTTATTTGAAGGACTTCATAGTTTATGTCAACAAAAAGCCACCTTCCTCAGAGTTCACAGGTTTTGCTTAAGAAAACAAATTGCTGAAAGGAAACATTGAAAATCAGTGGGCTTCTATTATCAGAAGTGGACGTTTAGCAGGGTCATTCTTCTGTCATTCCTCCTATGGGGAAGAGGGTGCTGTCAAGCAGAGGGGTTAATTGTCTGGTGTGTGCTGTGTCTGAAATCTGGGCCCCGTGCAGGGTATTCAGGCACTTCTTGTCATTGGGAGCTGTCTGTACTTTTCATCCCAACCACCTGTCTCCGAGCAGATGCAGGCCAACTCCTGCTGCGGTCTGTCTAAGTCTCACTAGCCCACATCCACAAGAATTTATTCACTAATCACCTGCAGCTGAGGTCAGACTGTGGCTCAGCCGAGGGCTTGGAACCAAGATTATACAAGCCACACAGCCCAATGTACTCACTGGATGGTTGTGTGTGTGGACTTGTGTGGGTGTGGTTGGAGGTCAGAGGACCGAGCTGCCTGGACAGTAGGTGCTAGGATCCACCTGCCCTTGCCTCCTTGGTGCTGAGGTCATATATGTGTTCCTAGATTTCTTTTACATGGGCTTGGAATGGAGCTCCGGTCCCCATGCTTGCAAGACAAGCAGTTCACTGACTGACCGGTATCTTGAGACTCACTATCCACTCTTTTACACAAAAGCTTTTGGGCTTCTGATCTGAAGTATGCATTTTTGCCCGTTAGGGATTCGGGTTGCTTGCTTACAGCGGCTCTAACAAACTGCCACAAACTGTGGTTTAAAATATCAGGTATTTATGCTTTCTCAGTTCCAGAGGCCATCATGGTGCTGGTGCATGTTAGAAGTTCTTAAGGAGAGCCTGTTCCACTCCTCTTTCCCAGTTGCTTAAGTTTGCCAGCAGTTCTTGGCTTGTGGAAGTATTCCAGATGTGATCTCTGGCTTCTCCCTGTGTGTACCAGTGTCTCCCCAGGGCCTTCCTGTAAGGATGTCAGTCATTGAAAAGGACTCACTCTAACTTAGTATGGTCTTACCGTAACAGCCACAGCTGCAAGTATCTTACTTCCAAATAAGGTCACTTTCTGGGGTGCCAGGTGGACAAGGGCTTAAGTGGGAGGCCCTTGAGCCTACCATAGGACTGCATGAATTTGCAAGGCCGGATTAGCTTCTTGAAAGTCTTACTAAAAGTCCTGTGGGCGAGAGTACTTTCAGTGTTGATGTGGTCCATACATGCCGTGGGGAGCATATGGTCTCTTTCAAGGCTCTTGTGAATTTTACTTGGAGTCTCCCAGAACGCAGAAAGGATTTCCTCTGTGAAGAAAGACCTCCATCCCGTGAGGTGGCTCAGTGGGTAAAGATACCCATTACCAAGCCTGGTGACCCGAGCACCATCTCTGGATCCCACAAGGTGAAACAGGATTCCCAGAAGTTGTCTGCTGACCTCCATACGTGAATGCAAGCATGCTCATCCTCCATAGTAAATAAATGTAATCAAAACTTATATAAAAGACAAGAGAATCCACTCTCCACACAACCCCTAGTCTCCTGTGCATCCCAGCAGACAAGGAGAAGGCTGATGCAGGAGGGAGCGGTAGTGGCAAGGAATTCTGATTTGACTTTTTCCGTAAAAAATTATTTTATTTGTTGAAATTTATCTGTGTGTGTTTGCATGTGTGTGTGCGTGTGTGTGTGTGCGCATGTATGTGCGTGTGCATGCTTTCCCATGCACCTGTTTGTGCACATGTACATTTGTATGAAGTACCTGCAGAGGTCGGAAGTAGGCATCAGATCCCTTGGAGCTGGAACTGCAGGTGGTTGTGATCCGGCCACCTGATGTGGATGCTGGGGAGCGAACTCAAGACATCTGTGGGAGCAGCAAACACTCAACTGCGGAGCCGTCTCTCTGGCACACCAGTTCTTTTCACTTTTAGGAAAATCAGAAAAGTTCATACTAGCACAGACCGAAAGATGAAATGATTTAGAAGGGTCTTCAGTGTGAATCACCCCATCCCAATTCCTGCCCACAATTAACTACAGTCCCTTGAGCTGAGCTTGCTCTACTCTCCCCTCTGGGAGGTCACGGGGCTTTTGCTCAGAAGGACTTTATACTTCAACCTGGTGGATCTACTTTGCTGTGGCCTCAAACATGAAGTAGGTGGTCCTGTTTGAGGCACCAGTGTTGGTAACTTCTTGTTTGAAACTGTGCTTGTTGTCTCCAAATAGGGGCCAGGGCCGGGCCAGAAAGCCACAGCAGCCTCACTTTATAACCTTTTCCATTAAGGAACCATTTGTCAACACAGCTTTGTGAAACTCTTAAAGGCATTAGGGTGGCTGGAGAGATGGCTCAGCAGTTAAAAGCACGTGCTGTTCTTGCAAAGTCCCTGAGTTCAGTTCCCAGCACCTCCTTAGTAGCCATAACCAGCTGTAACTCCACTTCTAGGAGGTCCGGTACCCTCCTCTGGCCCCTGCAGCTACCATGCATATACACAGTGTACAGACATACGCACAGGTAAAACACTCATGAAATAAAAATAAAAAGGCAGAAACTAAAGAGTCTGTCTGTGCTGGCTAGTTTTATGTTATCTTGACACAGGCTAGCGTCATTTGGGAAGAGAGAACCTCAGTTAAGAAAATGCCCCACCAGATTGATCCATGGGCAAACCTGTGATGCATTTTCTTGATTGATGACTGTTGTGAGTGAACCCGCCTCACTGTGGGATTCCACCCCTCGGCAGGTGGTCCTGTGTGCCATAAGAAAGCAGGCTGAAGAAATACCCAGTGAGTATCACTCCTCCATGGCATTGGGTTCTGCCTCCAGGTTCCTGACCTGGCTTTCCTCTAATGGTCTGAAAGGGTAAACTGAAATAAACCCTTTCCTCTCTGAATAGCTTTTGGTCATGGTGTTTTATCACAGCAATAGAAACTCTAACTAAGACACTGTCGCCATCATTAGAATGTAGATTATGAAAATCTCACTGGTTCATGTGGATTCTTGGTCAGCCAAGCCCTGGGCCCATGACAGCAGCCGGCATGGGGGCAGGGACAAGCGATGGATATCTCTGCACCAGGAGGTGAGAGCTTCAGGTGTGTCTGGGAGTCCTGGGCATCTGCCGTGCAGAGAAGATGAAGATGTTCTGAGAGCCATGGCAGACAAGTATCAGAGAAAGGCAACACCAGATGGAAAGCCAGGCACAGTCAAGGCCAGGTTACCCACCAAAGGGGGAATTCCTGCTGGAAGTAGCAGACATGTATGCCCATGAGAAGCCGAATCAGGCTGCGGTGACCACCTGAGGACCGAGGCAGCCTAGGCTTGGGTACAACCAAAGATGACTTGATCATTGGCATCTTTATTAATATAGATGTGAATGCCCCTGGTATTCAGGGAAGTGGGGAAGGACAGAATGCAAAACCAGTGGTGGGAAAAAGGCTTCTCTACATCTTGTCATTACAGGCTGTGCACCTGTCCCTATCACCCCCTTCTGCAGTCTTTACTCTGTTTCCTCTCTGTGTGTGTGTGTGTGTGTGTGTGTGTGTGTGTCAATGCATAAAAACAAATGTAACATTAATGGCTTTGATTTATAGCTTTAGGGGTTAGTTATCAGTTGAGAAAACAAGCAGAGAGGATGTTTCATGCTTGATAAGGGGACTGGGCTCAGAACATATACCAGCCCCCAAGTGTAGGATGGTTTTAAATATTCCATTTCTTTGCTTCCAGGATTTTGACTCTTTCTTCTCTGCAAAAGAAGAAAATATTATTTATTCATTCCTTGGTTTGGCTCCCCCTCCAGGGTCGAAGGTAAGCTGGGATGCCCTGCGTGGTCCAGTACAGGCTACAATAGAAGGAGAGAGAAGCTGGCAAACACTGACTAGTGTTCGTCAATGATGCTCGAAGTCAACATGATCTTTTTTTTTTTTTTAAAAAAAATTTACAGAATGCTTCATGAATTTACATGTCACCATTCTATGGGGCTTTATTTATCTCTCTACCAGTTCAATGTGTGTGTGTGCATGTGTGCATGTGCGTATATGCATGTGTGAGCATGTGTGCCTTTTGGTAGTGGTGTTTCATTGCAGCAATAGAAAGCTATTGCCCTGAGTAGGACAGATAGGAAGGGAGGCAACACTGCCTCTCCCCAAGGCTGTCCCAGTGATGTAATGTACTTCCTCCAGCAAGGCTGCACCTCCTAAAGGCTCCATAACTTCCTCAAGGAGTGCCACCAACTAAGGACCAAGAGTTCAAACACAGGAGTGTATGGGGGACATTTCTCATTCAGAACATCACATGGACATTGACTTTAAATTAAAATAAAAACCGTATTCAGGATGAAGCCTAGGACTCATTCATACTAGGCAAATACTGTTTTATGAGCTATAATCCCATCCCCAACCTGTTATTTTATATCATATATAAAATTAGATTATAGATGATTAAAGGTCTAGATTTTAATAACTATAAAGGCACAGATAAATCTATCTTTATAAAAAGTTAAAATTGTGTTCACTTCAGCAGCACATGTACTAAAATTGGAATGATACAGAGATTAGCCTGGCCCCTGCTCAAGAATGACACACAAATTTGTGAAGTGTTCCCAGGTCACCTGGGCTACCTAGTGAGAACCCTCTCAAAGACCCATACAGAATTAGAAATAACTCAAGGAAAGCGGTCAAGACATAGATGAAATCATCTGAACAGACAGTGTAAGTGATTCAAAGTATGCCCTTCCTTCCAGGGACCAAGGAGATATAAATATAGAGGAAGATGGAACTCCATTTCCCCTGAAAACACTCACAATCAATAAAAAGCACAACTGTGTTAACTGGCCACAAGGCTAAAGAAAAGGAGGATGTTCGTATGTTACAGAGAGATCTGAATCACTCCCACTTTTGAAAAGAAATCTGATAAAAAATATCCCCACCATTTTAGTCAGAGAGTCATAAACATGGGGTCACATTGACTATCTACCAATTCGAACATTTTTGAATAAATTTTCATAGTCTTAATGTTAAGCAGACATTACAAAGATTGAATTAGAATGGTAGGGTTAGATATATAGCAAATATTAAGGATTGTCATCTGAGGGTGTCAACAGAAGGTGTGTTTGAAGAATGGTTGTCCTGAGGATAACCTCATGATGGCTTTAAAAAGCTCTGTGGAGAAACAAAGGGAATGATCTATTGAACCCCCTCTCTCATTCTGTGATGGGGTACAATAGAGACCTTCCTGCTCTTCACCAGGAATTATAGACTGTACCCAATTGTACCCAATCTTTTTCCTGATGGGGTTTTCCCCTTACTCTGCCTCCCAATAAATATATACCCCAAAAGCTGAGGACCTTTTAATAAGTTAAGACCACCATGTGGGGGTGCTGATATGCTCTGTGTTGACAGAGGTTTCTATCTCACCCAGTTCTGCAACCATTCAGTCCCAAAGAAACATACACAAAAATATATAAACTGGTTGGCCTATTAGCTCAGGCTTCTTATTAACTAACTCTTACATTTTAAATTAACCCATAATTCTCGTCTGTTAGCCACATGGCTTGGTACCTTTTATCACTGAGGCATTTTCATCTTGCCTCCTCTGCCTCTGGGTGACAACTGCAGACAGAGCCTTTCCTCTTCCCAGAATTCTCCTGTTCTACTCACCCTGCCTATACTTCCTGTCTGGCTACTGGCCAATCAGCGTTTTATTAAACCAATACAAGTGACAAATCTTTACAGGGTACAAGACCATTGTTCCGTAGTAGCTCGGCCCCAAGCTTGTGCTAAAATGCTTTCTGCTTTCATGCTCTCAAAATTATTGTAATTTTAGGTGTATGGGTATTTTGCCTGCATATATGTTTGTATGTAAAGTACATACCCAGTGCCTGCAGAGTCCAGAAGAGACATTGGATCCCTAGAATTGGAGTTATGGATGGCTGTGAGCTGCCATGAGTGTGCTGGAAACTGAACCCATGTCTTCTGCAAGAGCAGCCAGTGTTCTTAACCACTGGGTCATCTCCCCAGCCACAGGGATTAAGTTCTTGTTACTGCAGCGTGGGTGGCAATGGCTTCATCCCTTTGTGGACCCCACTGTTGCTGCGGATAAAATGAAGGCCAAAGATAAGAACAATTCAGTTAGTTAAAAGACACTGAAATGTGAGTCATTGTCCTGAAGAGAATCTTCAAGTGTTTTCAACTATTTGGTATAGGTGACAAAGCCCGAGGAAGCTTCTTCCCTTCCCAATGGAGATGTGGCAGGAGAGGCAGAAGGCCCTGCAGAGGTAAGGCTGGTGCTGCCAGTGTCGTCAGGGTGGCTGCATGGGTTTAATGTTGCTTTCATTTCTCTCTCTCTCTGAACTATCTATTCATCTATCTATCTATCTATCTATCTATCTATCTATCTATCTATCTATCTATCTATTTATCGATCATCTATCTTTCATCTACCTATTATCTATAGCTTATCTATCCATATACCTATCATCATTATTTTCTATTATCTCTTTTATCTGTTATCCATTCATCCACCCACCCAGCCACCCATCTATCCACCCACCTACCTATCTATCCATCCATCCATCCACCCATCCATCCACTGATCCATCCATCCATCCATCCATCCATCCATCCATCCATCCACTTTACCTGTGTATCTATCTACTGTATTCATCTATATTCATCCATCTCTGCATCTGCCACCTTCACCAACCTTAAATGGGTAACTCAACATCCTTCACTCAGTAGTTCATGGCTGCAGCATGCAGGAGTCTGATAGAGGTTTGGGGCTTTGGGGAGCTGTGTCAGCATCTAACTTGTGTTGAGGAGGTCTCTTCCAGCTCCACTTACATGCCGGGACTGAGATGGACAAGCCACAGCAGGGGTGGCTTTCTTTGTCCTTGGGTGCTTCCTGAAGGTCAGTGATACTTTGAGATTCTTTTCTAAACAGGGAACAGAGAAGGCCGAGGAAAGTGGAGAAAATGAGGCACAGAAAGAGGACAGTGAAGACACCCAAGAGAAGAATGTGAGTGTTTGCTCTATTGCTGTGGGTTTGTTGCTTCTGTCCCTTACTGAACTCCTGCATGGTGCCAGGAATTGTGCTGAGCTCACAGCTGAGACAGAGAAAGTGCATACTGAGAATATAGCTGTGAGGAACCAGCTATTCTCATCCCTGCTTTAACTGCTGTGGACCAGGTGCTGAGAGGGCCAGAGGGAGGTGCCTGAGGCAGACTTGGTGGGAAACAATCAGTGGAGGCTTCACCGATTCCTCATGTACCCGGGGAGAAGTCACATTCATTCATATTCTGAGCTCTTGCTCAGATACAGGTCCCTACTCCTTGCCGTGAGTGATGGCAACATGTAGCTTCCTGTGAACCTCCTGGGGAAAAGAGCCAGGGCATTTGAGTGTTAGTAAAACATAAGTGGGAATGTGATGACTGGAGCCCAGCATTGGGAAGGAAACTCACTGAGTCAGGTGACAGACAGGTCCCGGTGAGTCTGAGGTGTGCATGGGGCCTGCTCCTAAATGGCAGAAGTTTCTGTCCTGTCTGGTCCCGCAGCCGTTCAGTCCCAAAGAAACACACAGAGGTCTACATTAATTATAAACGGGTTGGCCTGTTAGCTTAGGCTTTCTTAATAACTGACTCTTACATCCTACATTAACCCATAATTCTTGTCTGTGTTAGCTATGTGGCTTGGTACCTTTTATCAGCAAAGCAGTCACATCTTGCTTCCTCTGTGTCTGAGTCACGAGTGCAGACTGAGCCTTTTCTCTTCCCAGAATTCTCCTGCTCTGCTCACCCCACCTCTACTTCCTGCCTGGCTACTGGCCAATCAGCATCTATTAAAGCAACATAACTGATAAATCTTTGCAGGGTTTGAGACCATTGTCCCACAACACCTGAAGAGATTTGCTGTCCAGGGCCCACATGATGATAAGTGATGTCGGGGGATTCCGTAGGGGTCAAGAACAGTGGGTGTGGGGATTACTTAAGGAATTGTGGGACTGTGGCCGACAAGGCCTTGGGGTGGCTGGGTTGGGGTCGACTACAAGCCTCAGGCCGAGTCTCCCATGGGAAAGTTTTAGTGGAAACACTATAAAGTTATCTAAGATGGTTGAAAACATCACGACTGGCTCTTATCAAGGTAAAGTTATCTTGCGGAAAAGGCCAACTTGTTTTGGGTCATGTTTGTTGCCAGATGGTACTCTTCATCTGAAAATCTCCAAGCCCTGGGCTTGGTGACACATGGTTGAAGTCTAACCATCTCAGCTCCTCCCCAAACAAATCCCCACAAAAGTGACTTATGTTAAGGCCAGCATGGATATAGCTCCAAAAAGCTTGCGGGCACAAGGCTGGACTAAGGGCCAAAGACCCAGGGGACACCACCGGTGCTCTCTCCTGACAGTTCTAGGACTCACTGCCCTTTCAGGTCACACTGGCAGGGTTCAGCATCCTCGTCACCATCCATGTCTGACACTCGTCACCACTGACACCTGCCCTTAGGTCTGTCCCAGTGCCATGTCAGTGGCCCAAGTCTTGGCTAAGTTCCCAACAAAAAATAGCTGCTGTGGAAGGTCTACGAGATCTCGTTTCCCATGTGTGCTCTTCCTGGCGGCTCCTCCTGGTGCTCCTGTCTGCAGTGCTGTGAGCACCTGACGTCACTGACCCGGGAACTACAGTTTTCTCTATAACGCCTTTGTCTACGTGATTATTATTATTTTTTTTACGTGATTATTTTCTGACCCGTGAAATTGAGTTCAAGCATTGTGTGCAGTTGGCTTTTTAACAGCTGCCTAGGTCAGGTGCTGTCTAGTTCTGTGAACTTATGCTGGAAAGCTTTTGAAATTAATATATTGTACCTCAACTTAAGAAGGATTGGAAGCAGGAGTGGCATTGGATAAATATGTTCAATTCACATTTTATCAACCGTTTGAGCCACTGCTCCCTGATAGGCAGAACCCCAGGGATTAGGAGGGAGCAATGGGAAGGAAGGCAAAATCTGCCCTGTTGGGGAGCCTGTGTTCTAAGTGCTGGTGCTGACAATATGCTGGGCCCTTTGAAGTTACTTTCAAGACTATTTATTATTATTATTACTACTACTACTACTACTATTAATTTGGTTTTTCAAGCAGGGTTTCTCTGTGTAGCCCTTGATGTCCTGGAGCTAGCTCTAAACCAGTCTGGCCTCAAACTCACAGAGATCCTCCGGCCTCTGCCTCCTGAGTGCTGGGATTAAAGGCATGCACCTCCACCATCCCCATTTTTAATGATACCTTATTCCGCTTGGATACTAAAGCCCTTGGATTTAGGAAAGTGTGAAACTCTGCAGAACTGATGGCTCCATGCTGTATATGATGGCGTTTAGTCTGAGGGCACAAGGATAAGGAGAAAATGAAAACTTTTCGAGAGGCAGAGAGAAGGTACCAGGCTTCATGTGTTCCTGCTCTCGGCCATAAACTCGTATTTATCCAGTTTTACAACAGCGGCAGGACCCTGGAGATCCTGAAGATACGTGAGGGACAGATCACAGCTGCAGGGAACAGGCAGAGAAGCCAGAGAGAAGGGCAACTCAGGGATGGCTGCGGGAGCCGATCTGAGGGCCTGTGACTCAGCCTTCACGGCTAACCTGATTCTGAGTGGCAGCTGATGTGAATCTCATCGGGGGTTCAGTTTTGCTGAGTAAGGAGCGAGGAGGAGGGAAGCCAGAGGGCTAGGTAGGGGCGGGGTGGCTTTTAGCCATAGTTGTAGACTATAAAGGAGACGTTCCGGGTTTAATAGGAAATAGATGAGAAGAATTAGCTTTCAGGAAAGCATTATCAACAGAACAACGGCCTCTGGGGTCCCAAAGTGGGAGAGTCTTCGTTGTAGGGAACAAAGGAATTTCCAGTTCTTATAGGTTTCTGGGGATGGGCCTGAAGGCTAGAGGGTTCCATACCACATGCTCCAGGCTGTGGGCGGGGAGCCATAAGGCCAGAAGGGGTTAAATAAGAGAATAAAATAATTCCAGAGCCTGGGCATCTGGGAGATGGACTTGCCTCAGCTGCAAGAGTGAGGGACTGCCGGTCCGTGGCTGGTGTTGCTTGTGGTTCCAACTGAACCCTGTCGGCTGTAGGGTGACGGCCCGATATATCCCAGGTTGCCACCTCTGATTCTCTAAAGTGGTAGCGTCTTTTAAGGTCTGTAGCCTAACATCCATGCCAAGGCCATGAATTTGAATGAGAGCAAAGTGGAGAGGACATAGGAGCAGTTGGAGAGAAGAGAAGGGAAACAGTGTCATTATAGTCTCAAAAATGATTGCCATTGTTCCACGGTGCACATATGGAGGTCTGAGGACAGCCCTGTGGGGTCAGTTTTCTCACACCACCTCTATGTGGGACATGGGGCTATTGTACAATATTATTTTAAGATGTATTACATGGGCTGGAGAGATGGCTCAGAGGTTAAGAGACCTGATTGCTGTTCCAGAGGTCCTGAGTTCAATTCCCAGCCATCACATGATGGCTCACAACCATCTGTAATGAGATCTGGTGCCCAGAACACTACATACATAATAATAAAAAAAGATGCGTTATAATTGTTTATACTCCGGAACCCTTGTTTAACGATGTAAAGGTGTGTTGCTTTTTTTAATGCTGCATTCATTTATGTCTGTGAAGCTGTGATTCTTTGCTTCTCTAAAACACAGGCTAATAAAGAGCTGGTAAAGAACTGAATAGCCAATGGCAGGGCAGGAGCAAGGATAGGTGGGGCTGGCAGGCTGAGAGAATAAATAGGAGAAGCATGAACAGAAAGAGGAGCAAGGAGAGGCGAGCGCCAGGGGCCAGCCACCCAGCCAGCCACAGAGTAAAAAGTAAAGGTAGAAATAGAGAAAGATAAAAGCCCAGAGGCAAAAGGTAGATGGGACAATTTAAGAAAAGCTGGCTAGAAACAATCCAAGCTACAGCTGGGCACTTATAAGTAATTGAAGCATGAATAATAGAAACTCAGAGAAATTGGAATTCACTCTGAAGATTCAAAAAGCAAAACAGTCAGCCACTGGCTCTTACCTTGACCTCAGTCCAAAATGGCTATCCGGCCTCCAAGAGTTTTAGAATGAGACCGTGTCTGAGAGCTGTCTCCTCACATTTTATATTCCTCTCTCAGGCTGGGATTAAAGCGTGCACTAGTACCTGGTTTCTATGGCAGGGTAGTGTGGCTACTGGGATTAAAGGTGTGTGTCATTGTTGCCTGGTCTGTAAGGCTGACCAGTGTGGCTGTTTTGTTCTCCTGATTCCCAGGCAAGCTTTGTTTATTAAAATACAAATAAATTGCCACTACAAGTAAGAATAAGACCCCATGTGTGATTTATTTGGGAACTGGTTAGCAGGCCTCCCAAAGAGTAAACGAATAAAAAGCAATGACATTTTGGTGTTCCAGCATGAGGCTAGAGTCAAAGAAAGTTCAGCAACATGGAGCTTGAACTCAGGTCGTGAGGCTTGCATGGCGAGCACTTTCCTGGTCGAGCATCTCACTGGCCTTTGACGTGTATGAACTGTGTTGTAGCGGCAGTAAAGGCAAACCTATCAGGATGGAAAGGCAGAAAAGACGTTTGTGTTTTGGTTGAAAATCTTAATTGCTTGCATCTCTGATCTGATGTTGTTAGATCATCACAGTTCTGATGTTTGACACTTATGGATGAATAATGTATTACTCATTCAATAAGCTTCCATTTTGTTATAGTTTGTTTACCTTAAAAATTCAATTTAAATCTTACTCCATTTTTTAATCTTTGTGGACCCAAGGAAGAAGAGGGAGAAGAGGGAGCGGGAACAACAGAAGAGGTAGGGTCTGTCATCTTTGACCGCTGGTTTAATCAACTTAGTGAAAACGTTTGTGGGTGACACCAGGGCCGCTTTTGCTACACTTGTGTGTGTGTGTGTATGTGTGTGTGTGCGTGCGTGTGTGAGTGCATGTACATGTGCATGTGTGTGTGTGTGCGTGTGGCAACTGGAGTGTCAGATGTCCTTTTCAGACACTCTCCACCTTTGTGTCACTGTGAGCCCTCAGCTCTAGTTTGGTCTGTATTCCCATGGTGTCTTTGGCTCTATGCGTCTCAGTAATGATGTGATTTTGTAAAACCTAGACAGAAGAGGTGACAGAGGAAGGAGCAGAGGGAGAGGCTGAGGAAGGGGAAGCTGAGGAAGAAGCAGGAGAAGGGGAAGACTCTTAGGCCTTTCAGGCCTGTTCATCAACTATCCCAGGTAGGTGCAGAATTCCGGGCTGAGTGGCTTGTCCCTGTGTGGCCCTGTGTGACCTCTCATGAGGTGTGAGAATCATGAGCACACGTGTCTTCTGCCTGGCTCCGTGCACTGCAGGGCTTCAGACTACCATGTGCATGACTTGGCTCTAGGGCAGGATGGGAAAAGAGCACTCTGAGCAAAGGAGGGCTGGCGTGCATACATTTCCTCCTCCGCGTGATCTCTATATAAGAGCTGGCATGGAAGCAGCCTTTGCATGTCCACGGCATGAATGCCGTTCATCACCGATGATGCTGGCGGCAAACCTAACCTCAAAGTCATTGAGCTAGCTACTGGTTCATGAAAGACAATTCCCGTAGCTCTGCATGTCATCTCGAGTGCTGGGTAGCCTGGTCTCACTCTTTAATATTAACCAAACACTCGTGTGTACAACTGTGGATGATGAGACATTTGGTAAGCTTTTGCTTCCTTGTGGTTTTAAACGTCTGTTGGCGATAAAACAGTAATTACACAATTCTCTACGGGTGGGTAGATACCGTGTGTTAATAGGATAAGGATGGTGTACAGTAGTAGGGTATCAAGGACATGGTGGGATCCTCACCTAGCACAGGCTAAGTGAAAGCCCTACAGATCACTTGGTGCTGTGAAACAGCTGGTATCACGAGACATAAGGACAGCACATTTGCACGAGCCAGGTTGCTGCTCCTGTTGTTCTTGCGACCAAGTCAGAGGCAGTGGATCTTTCTGGGAGCGACCTCACAGTTGTCTGCCACCACTTAAAACAAAAGTCAAACAAACAATAAACCAAACACTGAACAAACCAGAAACCTAAAAAGCGTTTTAGTCTCCTCGCTGTCTATATCACACCTGTACTAAAAAAACGTGAGTCAGATTTCTGGGCTGTAGCTGAGAAGGACATAATGAGGGATAAGTACCTGGACACAGAGTAGGTCAGCAGCAAAGGCCCGTGATAATGAGGGGTAAGTACCTGGACACACAGTAGGTCAGCAGCAAAGGCCCGTGATAATGAGGGGTAAGTACCTGGACACACAGTAGGTCAGCAGCAAGGGCCTGTGATAATGAGGGATAAGTACCTGGACACAGAGTAGGTCAGCAGCAAGGACCCGTGATAATGAGGGATAAGTACCTGGACACAGAGTAGGTCAGCAGCAAAGGCCTGTGATAATGAGGGATAAGTACCTGGACACACAGTAGGTCAGCAGCAAAGGCCCATGATAATGAGGGGGTAAGAACCTGGACACACAGTAGGTCAGCAGCAAAGGCCCATGATAAGACTTGGTGCCCAACTAGAGACAGGTACACTGACGGGTTTATGCAGAGATGGAAAAAGAATTCTTCAGTGCTCTGAGTAACATCGATGCTATGTACAAAAGAAGGGGGAGAGAGAACCACAGAAGAGGTGGGGTCTGCCATCTTTAACCATTGGTTTCATCAGCTTAGTGAAAACATTTGTTGGTGACACCAGTGCTACATTTCTCTCTCTCTCTCTCTCTCGTGTATGTGTGTGTGTGTGTGTGTGTGTGTGTGTGTGTGTGTGAACAGCGTAGATATTCTTCCTCAACATTCCTATGAACAAGAAGCTATTATCAAGATGGTTAATATGGCCAGGTGGTGGTGCGCACGCCTTTAATTCCAGCACTTGGGAGTCAGAGACAGGTGGATCTCTGTGAGTTCCAGACTGTTCTGGTCTACTGAGTGAGTTCCAAGACAGCCAGAGCTACACAGAGAAAAATAGAGATGGTTACTATGTTTTCTTGGAGCTGGTGGGGATGTCTGTCACAGCTTGCTATTAGACTATAGAAGTATTGTGCTCTGTCTATATTACAGTAGATCAAGGGCACGGCTTGATGTCTCCACACCTGGTGTAGGAGGGTCTTCTTTCTATGTGTTGCTTTCATTGGTCAAATGAAGAAACTGCCTTGGCCTTTTGATAGGGCACAATTTTGATAGGTGAAGTAGACCGGACAGAACACCGGGAGAAAGAAAACAGAGTCAGGCAGATGCCATGATTCTCCTGCCCAAGACGGACACTGGTTAGACTCATGCCGGTAAGCCACATTCAAGTGGCGAAACACATTAATGTAGATGGGTTAAAACTATTATGTGAGAGTTACCCAATAAGAGGCTAGATATAATGGGCCAGGCAGTGTTTAAGTGAATATAGTTTCCGTGTAATTATTTCGGGTGTAAACTAGCCAGGCAGCCAGGCACTAGAATGCAGCCCGCTGCTCCTTTTACAACACCCACCAATTTCCTTCATGCTGATGACACAGACTCAACTGTCTGTTCCTTGGTAATGATTCCACTGCTAAGGAATGAACGGGGACTCATATTTAAGAAGAGAAAATTGGCAGTTTTATGAAATCCCATCTGAAGAAACAAAAAAAGTGCAAAAGTGATGGTTTTATCATCAAACCAGCAGCAAAGCCAAAGGCTACAGAGCCACAGCCTCACGAACACCATGCAAATCCACTGATACCCACACTACTTGCAGGGTTTCTTAAAAAACTGCAGTTTTAATATGATGACCATGAAAATACTGAACGTGAACTGGCTCAGCGGAGAGAGAAGCCTTAGTGTTTGGACGGTGTCCAGGTCCAATTCCAAAGTTAAAATAAAAACGGAAGATGAGTGTCAGGGGCTGTGTGGAGCATTTTGTCTGTTTCTCTGAGGGTGCTGGGTTGGAACTTAGCCCATTATAGTCTGTTACATACCTAGATGTGAAGGCATGAACCAGGAGTCTCTCGGCTTCTCCCTTGGCTCCCACTGATTCGGTGACTTTCTTTCAAATGTGCCATGGCTGGCGGCAGGATCCATCTCTGGCAACCACTCAGCTTCCAGAGGCCACCCTGTCTCGGTGCCAAGGAGTTCATACTCAGTTTGAAAACATGATCTCTGGAGAACATGGCAGTGAACAGAACCATGAAGACAGTCTCCTGTCCAGTTTAGGGTTAGGCTCCAAACTGGTGCTTCAGTCTGAGAAGCAAACTCTACCTCCTGAGGCTGGAGAGATGGTTCAGTGATAAAGAGTACGTGCTGCTCTTCCAGAGGACCCAAGCTTGGTTCCTAGCACCTATCCTGCCTGCAACTCAAGCTTCCAGGGATCTGATGCCCTCTTCTGGCATCCAGGGGCACCCTCATATGTACATGACACACACTCACACACTCACACGTATAAAAATAAATATAAGTAAATAAATAGACACTACTTCCCAACGCTTGCCTCTCAACATTGCCTCCTACTGTAATCTTGCATTGTCGGAATTCCCTCTTAGGGACTCAGTTGTAGTTGCTGCCTCTGCTTTCCGTGAACAGAGAGCAGGGAAGCTAGAGGGCCGGCCTTTCTTCTGGTGTTCGAGATGTTAGTTCTGATAACCAGTACAAATCTGACTTGGTTCTCATCAAATTTATTTTCTCTTCTCTGCTCTGGGGCCAGAAAAGGTAAACTGTGGTCATGCCTTCCCGGATTGTGAATTAAATAGCAAAGATTGCAGTAAACACGCCTGTCTTTAACAGTCTTCTCCTGCTCTTTCCTTTCTTTTAGGATATCCAAGCCATGAGGCCACATTTCAACTCTCTCCACTAAGTTGGTAGCATTCCTGGGGTTCACCGAGGACTGTGCCCTGTGATGCAGCTGGGTGTGTTTGGGTTCCCACTGCACTGAATCACCGTGAGCTGAATGTGAAGACTGCACGCATACTGTGCCTACAATTCTTGGTCTTTGCTTAATTTTTGTTTCTTTTGCTGCATACAAATAGACCTTCCATTAATACTCTGCAAACAGGATCTTACTGTGATGCAGCGGGAGTATTTCCCTGTGTACTGCTTGTTTAAGGCTTGGCTTTCAAGATGAAACACTTCCTGGAGAGTAATCGTAAATAAAGATTGACAACCAGAATCTGTCTGGTCTTTCTGTTTTCTTTCCCCTTTGCCTCTGCTCACGCTTCTGTCTCTCTGTGGACTTGAACTTGCTATGTCTGTTCAGACTAAGTTATCTGTATCCCGAGGAAGATTGTTGCACTAACTGGTTCAGGTTGTCAAATGGCACCGCCTGTCCCGTGTCACATCTTGTGTAACACAAAGTGCTATGTTTCGTCCCTGGAGCCTGACTGCCGCCCACACCTGCACGGATGTGACTAGGACAAGCCATGTGCAGCCTCATGGCCTGAACATTTCTGAGGTGCAGGGACAGTTACGTCTGCTCCTCTGGCTGCTGACTGATTTGCAGCCTTAGCCTGCGGTGTGCGTCAGCGACCGCTACTGCAGTCGCCTGGCTGTGCTCTGGGCAGGATGGACCGCGTGGCTCTGCTCACCTGCCCGCGTTACCTTCCCAGCGACATTGCTCTTGCCTGTGACCTTTGTGGCTCTCCCTTCTCCCCGCCATGCTGTGCAGTGCTGGCTGCCTCTGTCCTCTGGTGGGTGGATCAAGACTGTGATGGGGAAACCCATTGAAACAGCTGACCTGAGCTAATGGGAGCTCACCCACTCTGGGTTGACAGTAGAGGAACCAGCATAGGACCAAACTAAGCCCTCTGAATGTGGATGACAGTTGAATGGCTGGGGCAGACTATGGGGCTACGGGCAGTGAGACAAGGATTTATCCCTACTGCTTGTACTGACTTTTTGGGACCCATTCTCTTTGGAGGGATACCTTGTTTATCCTAGATATGGAGAGAGGGCCTTGGTCCTGCCTCAAAGCGATACACTAGACTTTGTTGACTTTCTATGGGAAGACTTATACTCTCAGAGGAGTGGGTGGGGGATGGGGTAGGGGCAGGGAGGAAGGGAGGGAGTGTGAACTGGGATGGGTATGTAGGATGAGAAAAGATAGTTTTTTTTTTTAATAGATAAATTAAAAAAAGAGTAGGTGGAGAAGCAACTGAGGAAGACATTCTGGCAACAGCCTCCGGCCTCCACACCCCCCCATCGGTGAGCACAGGTACGCACAGGTACATACATGCAAACATATGTGGTACACACATACCCCACAACAAAAAAAGAGATAGCCAAATAGCTAAACATGTATTTCTAAGCTGATTCATAAGGAAAACCACTAAGATAAATTTTTAATTATGAGTTATTTTCAGTGTTGGGAAAAGTTTCAAAAACAAATACAAAAACAGGCCCTTGCTCATTGCTACATGCAGTTCAGGGATAGGGTCTGGAGAAGATTTGTCTATAAGTACTTAAAATGTCCAGACTTACGCTGTTTAAGCTGTGGGATCCTTTTTAGGAATGTACCTGAGGGGACTGGAGAGATGGCTCAGCAGTTAAAAGCACCGGCTGCTCTTCTAGAGGACTCAGGTTCAATTCCCAGCAGCCACATGATGGCTCACAGTCATCTGTAATGAGATCTGATGTCCTCTTCTGGCCCGCAGGCAGGCATGCAGGCAGAACACTGTTTTCATAATAAATAAATAAATAAATAAATTAAAAAAAGAATGTGCCAGGTGGAGAAACCGGGTGTATTCCTACAGCCCTACAATCCCAGTACTTGGAAAGTAAAGACAAAAGGATCAGCCGTGGTCTTTAGAAATGGCTCGGCAGTGGAAGGCACTCAATGGCTGCTCCTCCGGGCTCAATTCCTAGCACCCACATAATAACTCAAACCAGTGTATAGCTCCAGCATCAGGGAATACAAGGCCCTTTTCTGGCATCCATGCGTACATGGTACACAGACATGTGTTTGTATAAAACATTCGTATGCATAAAAATAAATGGACTTTACAGTGTGTAATCTTTTCTAAAACGTAAAAGATCAAGCCAGGCAGTGGTGGCCCACACCTTTAATCCCAGCACAAGGGAGACAGAGGCAGGGAGATATCAGAGTTCAAGGCCAGCCTGGTCTACAGAATGATTTCCAGGACAGACAGGACTAAAGAGAAAAACCCTATCTCAATAAATCAAAAAGCAGATCATATATTCAAAGTCAGGTTAAGTACATAGTGAGTTTATAACAGAGCAAGCTAAATATTATGGAGAAAATAGTGAGTTTATGAAGATATGTCTTATTGAGAAGCAATCGCTTTCCTTAGCTTCTGAAGGCAACTGAGGACTGCACACTCACCTCAGACTCAGCCCTCACCAATCTGCTCACTAGCTGCTTCCATTCACCAGAGGGTATGTTAATGGCCACAAGATGACCCCAGGGCCTGAAAACCTCCAGAGAAAGGTCTGAGTAATCTCTGTCTTTAAGAAACTTCTAATAATGCCCTTGGCTGTCTGGGACCCTACACACTGTGTACCACACACAGTCCTGTCCGAACAACACTACTAGAAATCTGTGAGCAACGTACATCCTCTATCTGCACTCAACTGTGTGTGCAACTGCTTGGTTTCCGTCCAAACACACCCTGAAATACAGTCCTACCTCCCTCCTTCCAGAACTACAGAAAATGGACCATGTGGCCCAGCCTGCTTTGGGGTATCATCTGAGTGAACTGTTAGGGGAGCTCCCTATTTATGGTCTTATGTCTATGCAAAAGTTGATGCACATAAGATTAAAGTCAGAGGGATCTTGAGAAGGAAGCAAAAGCTTACATAAGCCAAGCCTGTCAGTCAAAACTGAACAACTTGTGCCGTGCCCTTGGCAGCCAAACTCCTTATCTGACACCCATAAAAGAAAGCCCCAAGCAATAATCATAAAACACATTTCTTCCTGATCTGTAGTAGCACTTCGCTTGGAACGAAGCAGTCCTGCGGTTTCGCAATCTTGAATCATCCTTGGAAACATCCAGCCCAGAACCCGGCCACTGACCAGCAGCAACAATCACGCATCCATAAGCAGAGCCCTGAGTCATTGTTCTGTACGTGGTCCCGTTCTCACTTCCTGAGACCATTGTCATTTCCATTTTAAAAATGGAGAGTGGACTCCTTCCTCCAAAACATGCAGAAACACATGCAGAAAATAAGCAAACCAAAAAATGAACACTAGGTAAGCAATAAAGAAAATAATAAGTAAATATACAGGGGGTAAAAGCAAGCCACGCTCTTACTGCAGAACCTCTCTGCTCGCCCGGTCCCCTCCCCTGCAACTGTTGCCAGGGAGCGAAACAAACCGGAATTCAGACACATTTTCCCCTCACTAAATTGTTCAAACCAAACTCTCCTCGTTTTCTGAGAAAATGCTATGTCTCAGACTGGATGCTCTCCGGGAGGGCATTTCATCAACTGCGGACCTGCTCTGTCTTGAGTCTGCAGCGTGCGGGTGGTGATGGGAGGACAGTTAACATGCTTGGTGTCGCAGCTGCGTGTCTGCGAGAAGCAGACAGCAAAGCAGCAATCGGACTGCTCCTGGTCATCGGGGTTGTTTTAAGGCAGACTCTGAGGAGAGACTGAGGTCAGGAACTGCATGTATGTGAGAGCGTCTGTGACTGCTAAGAAGATGCCTGGGTCACTCAGGAACACGCTCCCGCTGGCTCTCACGCTCGCTTATCTGTTCATAAAGCAGCCAAGGGCAGGAAGCTAGGACTTCCTTTCTTCCCTCCGGAGTCATCAACCTGAAAGCTTGTCCTGGCCACCACCACAGACAGGAGCCTTCCCGTGCCCACTAGAACAGAAAACCCTTTGTTACAGGAATTAACCCCCAACCCCAGAGCCTTGAGTTCTGGGAGCTACTTTGTGGAATGCTGTGGTGTTGCCATGGTTACCAGGCTTGCCGTCCACGGTGGGTCCCTAAACCTTGACACAAAACCTTCAGGAAAACAAAGTAAAATTCGAATTGAAGCGCAGGCTACTAAACTAGCTTCCATGACCAGCTGTTGGTGTCGAATGTGCAAAGATGATTTGACAGAGGAAAGATAGGAGAGGGGACTGGGGAGAAGGCCCCCTGGGTCAAGTGCTTGCAGGGTAACCATGAGGGCTGCAGTGTGGACTCCAGCACCCAGGTAAATACCAGTCAGGTGCGGTGGCCACCTATAAATCCAACAGAAGGTAAAGACTGGATGCCTGCCGCAAACTGGACAGCTGGACTAGACAAATCTGTGAGCTCTGGGTTCAAGTGAGAAAATCGGCCTCAGTAGACAAGATGGAGGACAAACAAGGACACCCAACGTCAGCCTCCAGCCTTCACATGTGCATCCCATGTACACACTGATGCAGGCACTTCTAAACACATTTGTACCCAGACATAAGTAAGTAACCACATGCAATACATACACATACACACAGATACATATATACACACAAGTACATAAATAAACACGCACATACACATACATACACAGTACATTCACATACACACATTCACACACATATACATACATACACACACATGCATATACCCACATACCCACATACCTACATACACACATAGACACACATAATACAGATACACACATATACACACATATTATGCATATGTATACATATACACACATTATGTATATATACACATATACAATACACACATATATACACATGCACACATACACATGCATACATATACACACACATATATACATACACACAAACAAGGTACGTGAAACAGGACTTTGCAAAGCCATCTGTAATTGCTCACCGTCTGAGTTTTCCATCGAGCAGCACAACCCATCGCGTGCTCCCCGGCTTGAGATCTTGTATGAACAGGCTTGCTTTTCTGTTTGTAGTCACACAGTTTCTGCTGGGCTCATTCTCCGTCACTAAAGAGTAATCTGCCCTGGTTCCAGTACTCGTGAGTGTGCGTCTGTGGGATAGGCACCTTTACACGGACATCAGCATCATATCTACTTCACGTCTCTCCCAGGAAACCACATGAAAAGAACATCAGTAAAATAAAAACGCTGGGGAGATGGTTCAGTGTATAAAGGGCTGGCTGTGCAGACTCCAGGACCTGAGTTCAAATCCTTAGACCCTACCCCAGCCAAGTGCAGTAACAGACATCTGTAACAGCGCTCCTAA